TCTTCACAATTGCTATAATAATCTTTGCAGAATCTCAAACAGCATTGACCACTTGCACCTAAATAATCTCAATTGCAATCCAGGTAATTTGGATGCGCTATTAGATGAAGCACAGTGATAACACATTAAGTTGTATAAATAAACAAAATATCTAACATTGTATTCCCATTTTAACTTTGTTGTGTTTTTTTAATTGTTGAAAGCGCAGTGATATCACATTTAGGTGACAACTAAACCAAAAATCAGACATAGATTTTCCATTGGAATTTGGTTTTGGTTTTGGTTTTAGATGGTTGAAAGCATAGTGATAACACATTTGGAATTCAACAAACATTTGACTGTCTTTTTGAGTGTGTGAAAATAGGTTGTAATCTCATTAATCAACGTACCAACCAAATATTACCCAATTTTCCATGTTGAAATGACGTGGTGTGCCCAGTGGGTTTGTTCTCTGGGGTTGAGGACATACATTTAGTAAACATGTCTCAGCTCTGTAATCTCAGCTCTCTACAGAATTGTGGCAGTGGGACACCTAGTGATAATAGCTCAGTTACTCACTAGAGGAACCATTAAATGATAGTAATTAATATTATACACTGAGTGTACAAAACATTAGGAACACCAGCTCTCTCCATTACATAGACTGACCAGGTGAATCCAGGTGAAAGCTATGATCACTTATTGATGTCACTTGTTAAATCCACTTCAATCAGTGTAAATAAAGGGGAGGAGACAACCTCTACAGGATCGGTATCCCTATACCGGGACAGATCCTGCTCAATATGCGATATGTGACTAGAATGGCATTGTAAACAACAGCCAACTTTCCGGGACATATACATGTCTTGTATGGGCAGAAAGCTTAAATTCTTGTTAATCTAACTGCAGTGTCCAATTTACAGTAGCTATTACAGCTAAAAAAATACCATGCTGGATAATGCACAACAACAAAACACTTTTGTCACGGCAACTGGTTTGATACATTCACCTCTGAAGGTAAATAATGTACTTATATTCAGAAATCTTGCTCTGATTTGTCATCCTGAGGGTCCCAGAGATAAAATGTAGCATAGTTTTGTTTGATAAAATCCATTTTTATATTCAAATGTAGGAACTGGGTTCTACAGTTTGACCCACTGATGTCTCTGGCTCCACACACTTCTGTAGGAAATCTAATGATACATCACGTATTACATTCCTGGGAGTGTGTAAACTTAAAGGTTTTATTACCAATGCATTTTATGTACTTGAAAATGTATAAATTGACCAATTCGGAACATTTGGGAAAACTCCTGGCAGACTTGATACTAAATATTGTGTAGTGATGTAATCCTTCATTGGATCAGTCTGAAACTTTGCACAGACTACGCTGCCATCTTTTGGACAAAATCTAAATTACACCAAGATTCCTACATCACTGTCTGGCCTTTCTCTTGCATTTCAAAGCTGAGGCAACAACAAAAAAATTGAAAACGCATGTTTTGTTTGTTTTTTATTATCTTTTACCAGATCTAATGTGTTATATTCTCCTACATTAATTTCACATTTCCACAAACTTCAAAGCGTTTCCTTTCAAATTATATCAAGAATATGCATATCCTTGCTTCAGGTCCTGAGCTACAGGCAGTTAGATTTGGGTATGTCATTTTAGGTGAAAATTTGAAAAAAATAGTCAGATCCTTAAGAGGTTTTAAAGAAGGATTTTTAAGCCTTGAGACAACTGAGACATGGATTGTGCATGTGTGCCATTTAGAGGGTGAATGGGTAAAAGGTAGTAGGTGCCAGGTGTACCAGTTTGTGTCAAGAACTGCAACGCTGCTGGGTTTTTCCACGCTCAACAATTTCCTGTGTGTATCAAGAATGGTCAACCTCCCAAAAGACATCCAGCCAACTTGACACAACTGTGGGAAGCATTAGAGTCAACATGGGCCAGCATCACTGTGGAACGCTTGACACCTTGTAGAGTCCATGCCCCGATGACTTGAGGCTGTTCTGAGGGCAAAAGAGGGGGGGTGCAACTTAATATTAGGAAGGTATTCCTAATGTTTGGTATACTCAGTTTACATACTGTGCTTTAAAAAATCTACAGACACACACACAACAAACCCACACACAAACACCACTCCCTCCCAACTGAATCTTAATCAAACAGCAGTCTAACTGAATTTAAGCTCCTATCAAAGGGCCCAATTTCAATTGGCGGCTCTCCTCCGCTCGATGGATAATTATCCCTATTATTCTATTGACGCAGGGGCCACAGGAAAGCCCTTTAATATTTTACAGCCTCCCCCCACTCCCCCCGGTGCTGCTCAGGGCTCATCTATTTTACAAACTAATTCACAGCGATCAACATCCCTGCCAATTAATTAGGCAATCAGCCTGGAGCCCGGGGAGTTAGTCAGGGCGGGTCACCGTCACAGAATGAAGCGTCCCTCTCTGCCTCAGGTTGCCTTTAAATGTCCAATATTAGACCTTCATGGAGCTGATGGTAATGGGCTCCTAAAGGCCCCATTCCGATGAGATAACCTACAGCCGGGCAACAACCTCAAGCTCTTCCAGCCGTCCACAGTAGGTCTATAGAAACACACACACCAACTACAGTACTAATGCTGCACATAACTGGTTCTGTCGATGGGAATCTAAACCACTTTAAATAAGTGTTGGTCAGTTAACCAGAGCTCATTATAGCACTGTAGCAACTTTCATAATCATAAAGAGCATTAGTAATGCTTAATGAAAATTCATAAAGATTACAATATGAACTGAACTGTGATTTCAGTTTATGGAGAATAGGGTGCAAAATTACAGAACATCACACACAGGCTGCAATAATACACACACAGGCTTTGACTGACTGTTCATTAGATTGTTGGCTCATAGCTACACATTGCCCCCTGCTGGATAGATCCGATAATAGTGGCTCCAATGCCAAATCCTTTCAGATCAGGGTGTAGCCTACATGTATGCCTGTGTGTGAGGTGGGCCTATGAGTGAAACAATAGCCTCTCACAATACGACTCACAAAACTGATTAAACATGATTTATTGAGCTCATATTAAGTATCCTTGGCTCGGTCTATACCTGTATCACAATTAGGCCTACAATCTGTTTTTATTGACCATGAATAATTGGTTTTACTTTTACATTTTAGTCATTTAGCAGACGCTCTTATCCAGAGCGACTTACAGTTAGTGAATACGTATTTTATATATATTTTTTATACTGGCCCCCCGTGGGAATCGAACCCACAACCCTGGCGTTGCAAACGCCATGCTCTATCAACTGAGCTACATCCCTGCCGGCCATTCCCTCCCCTACCCTGGATGACGCTGGGCCAATTGTGCGCCACCCGTGAGTCTCCCGGTCGCGGCCGGCTGCGACAGAGCCTGGATTCGAACCAGGATCTCTAGTGGCACAGTTAGCACTGCGATGCAGTGTACTTCTAATCGAAATATCCACTGAACAGTAGCCTATCACATATTGCAGATTGTTGATTTGATAATTGATTTGATATAGTCCAACATAAGACAAGCTATACAAATATATTTGTAATTTTAATGAATGTTTTATCTGGTCTATATGCCAAACATCATTTTCAAAGGCGACATTATTCCATGAAATGCCTACATATCGAATAAATTAAGTACAAATAAAATGTCGCCTAACCAGCTATTGAATAAATAAATAAATCCCAATCAGTGCTACACAATTAGCATATTACATAGAGTTGTTGCAATTTCGTTCCAATTAAAGATTTTCTATGGGCATAATGAATATTTTTTGATGGTAGTCTAGAGTTCAAACATCTTTTGAAGAGGTATTTTCAAAGCACATAAAAGTGCAAGCCCGGTCAAATATCGTGCAACGTCATCATAAGCCTTCTGATGACATTTATTTCACACCTTTTTGTCATCAAATAGTTTGCATACTTTGTTGTGTCGTTCTTCAGATTATTCTAAGAAATAAGTAGGCTAGATAGGGTCTATCAAGATTTCTGTACAGTTAATGTAGATCCCTATAGCCTAGTTGCCTAGCTACCCAGACTCCTTGCTCCGGCCAAACGCATCGCCAAACGCGTAGTAAGGCTAGTAGTACCTCTTCAGAGAAAATCCATCATATAGCCAAATCACATCTAAGCCTATAAAGACAAGCGCCAAGAGATGCCTAACACAAGGAGACTGAATAGGCCTACTAAAATAAATAGGCCAATTCTATTTTGTCACTAGCATTTCATTGCAATGTGAAAGAAATAAAAAACTGAAAGCTATAGTAAATGTGTGAGATTATAATGTTGATAACACTGATCAGTCTCATTGTCATGCGAGGACCATCCAATTTTATCTGTGATGGGATAAAATAGGTTATAAATACTGTGGTTATAATTAGCCTGTCGTATTGTAGGCCATAACTCTGCGCCATGACATTTTAATTTCGTAAAGAGAAGTTTGGTAAATTGTTGTCAGCTTTCTCGATTTCCTAACTAGGGGAAAAAGAGATTACTTTTTTTTTTTTATGACGCCTCATCTAATAAAGGGGCATGGAGGGATTAACTCGCGTGTTGTTTAGTCCCCATTAATCAATGCGCAATGTTCAGCTATTAATCTGCTTAACTAATATTATTGTCGCGGTTCCTTATCAAAGAGATCTCTAATTAACAATACTCAACGCAGAGGTATTAAAGTTTTTACACTTTGCCCACTCCAAAGAGCAGTTGGTTTCGACACACAACCACCTTGACAGATTTAACCCTTTGAGCTCTTTCTGTTCTCCCACTGATCACACAGTCACTTCAAAAGCCCGTGGCATGACAGAACTCGCAAAGAAAGACACAGGGTTGTTATAAATGTTCTTACTCCAGCAGACAGCATCTCACCGGAGGTATTCTCAACTGGACAAGCTGGGAGAAGGAGCTATATCCTACCTGTCTGTCTCTCAGTACAAGAGCTTTACTGATTTGCATTTACAGTAAAATACTACCTTGGAATAACTAACTTCGAATTATGGAAGGACTCATCTTGGCTTTCTTCTCTGCGCTTCTGGTGAACTTGGTTTGTGTGGTTGGAGCGGAGAATATCCCTGGGAACCGTGAGGCTTTCTTCCACAGAATTAGTGGAGGTCACAGGGACCATGTTCATCACTCCAACAGGTTCCCACTCTACATGATGCAGCTCTACCGGACTCTGCTGGAGGGGGACACCGCCAGGGCGCCGCCATCTGTCAGCGCCGCCCGGACCAAGAGTGAGAACAACCCCCGCCTTCACGACTCCGACTCGGTACTCAGTCTGGTAGCCAAAAGTGAGTATCTTTATTTTACAAACACTTAGTTCTCTGTTTATATCGTGCATTTTCTTAATTAATTTATTTATTTATTTTTATATGTTTTTAAGCAATTTTTCGCACCACAATTCAATTGGACACACTAATTAAACGTAAGGTAATGTTTTAACTATTATTTAAATTATAATAGCATAATCGAATTCACTCTCAGTTACATTTATTCCATAAACAATTATTTGAATTAAGGCTACTAGTGCGCGTTTTGATTACTTTGTGACTATGTGCTTCGCAATAATTTTAGCATATGGGAACCTTATACAATGCTTATTGTGAAGAGCCCCTAGGCCATGGCTTTTTAGCGCGTACTAGCCCCAGGTTGTCTGTTACAAGTGTGTCAGGAACGGAGGAATACACAATGCGACAGTAACAACATTCTACTATATTAACTGCTCATTGCATGTCAAAAGACAGCGTGTGAAAGCAGTCTGTGGGCAACAATAAAAGACATGACACTATCTTTGATTGATTGTAATGAATGGGACAGTCTGATAGTCACAGAGGTGAAAGAGACATGCTTGCACACTTTCATAAGCCGTGTCTGCTGCCTGCTTTGCTAAAATATTTTCTATGTTATCTCTCCAGGTTGTCACCAGAGCGGTGGGAGGTGGTCTGTCACCTTTGACATGTCCTCCATCTCTGCAAGTGACAATGTCCAGCGCTTTGAGCTGCGGATCCGCCTGCCTACCTTCTCTGCCTCTGAGCGTGTCACTGTGGACATGTACCACTCCCAGAGTGGCCGCTGCTCCAGCCCGCCATGCCCAGAGAGCCTCTTCCTGGGCTGCCTGAGGGCAGAGCCCAGCTCCCTGACCGCCATGTCCAACTGGAGGGTGTTCAATGTCACCGCACTGCTCCGCTACTACTGGCTGCACCAGGGAGGCTCCGCACCTTGCCATGAAGAGGGAAGGGCAGAGGAGAGAGAGGAGGGTCTGGAGAGGCTCCTGCACCCCACAGCCGACCGGGTCATGATGGTGGTCTTCTCCAAGCACCAGACAGAGAAGCGGGCCCCCACCCTCATCCGCACTGCTGAGCATTCCAAGTACGTCTCTCTGGACCGGGAGCGAGCTGGAGCAGGCCCTGCTGTCAGCGTAGAGGGTGGAAAGGGGGCCCGCCGCAGGAAGAGGCGCGGGCAGTACCAGAGAGCAGGAGTGGCTGGGGTGGCCCCTGGCGTGGCCCCCACGGAGGAGAGGAAGGGCCCGCTGTGCAGGAAGGTAGACATGTGGGTGCACTTTGACCAGATCGGCTGGAGCGAGTGGATTGTTTACCCCAAGCGCTATAACGCGTACCGCTGTGAGGGCAGCTGCCCTACCCCAGTGGACGAGACCTTCACCCCCACCAACCATGCTTACATGCAGGTAAGACTGCCAACATTACATCATCACTGCTGAAAACGTACATGTTTGAAATAGATTTAAAATAGAGCCATTGATTTGTTTCCTATTACAATATTGTATGATTTCCTGTTTGTTTGTGAGTTCACCTGTACTAACATCTCTTTCTCTTCTCTTTCCAGAGTCTACTGAAGCTTCACCACCCAGATCGTGTCCCGTGCCCGTCCTGTGTGCCCACCCGCCTGGCCCCTCTGTCCATGTTGTATTACGAAAACGGCGAGGTGCTGATGCAGCACTTTGAGGGCATGGTGGTGGAGGAGTGTGGCTGCCACTGATCAACCTGTCTGCCAACATGAACACCCCATAGGCACTTTCCTTCCCAGAGAACATCACTCTGTACCAGCTTCTGCTCGACCTGCAGGCCTCATGAAGAGAGTTGAGGTGCAAATGTGTGGGCTCACTTTGTGAGTGTAGCCTCAAAGTTCAGTAATCTAGTAGGGCAGCTGCTGCCTTCAGCCATGCTAAACGATATGGATGTACTGGACACTGAAGCAGACTCTGAACACAAGCACTGAAAAGGAGAAAGATAATCACTCAAAAGGATTATAAACTGAGATCTCCTGTCCTGCAGACATGTATTATGCATAAAGACTCATGATTGGGACAATAGCAGATACAAGGACAAATGTAAGTTGCCATTGTCAATGCTGACCCCTAAAGCGCTTTAATTCCACTGTATGACCCGGTATTCATATAGTATTTAATAGTTTTTTTTACATATTCATGCAATAATATTTTTTTCTTAATGGACGAAATATCTGTAAAATGTCACTTGAACCTTTTGTTTAATAAATCCTCCATTTATTTCAGTCTGTGTCTATGGTTTTCACAGGATTTATATTTTTTAACAACATGAGATATTTCTGAAAGTTGTATACTCTTATATAATATTTAATAGTAACACAAAAGGATAATAAAAAGTATGTTTGTCTTTAATTAGTTCCTCTGGAGAAAGAAATTAAGCAGAATGTAGCCCTAGTTTTACAATCAACAACTATTACACCAATACAACTTAACAGATAAGAGCGTCTGCTAAATGACGTAAATGTAATGTAAATGTAACAAGAAAAACAGACAATACTGAGAATGGCATGTGCTTACAAAATGCTGCTGGATAAGACTCAAACATATAATTCAAATGCTTCACCTTTAAGACAGGATAATGTCTAACAATTAGTAAATAATATCAAATCAATAGAGGAGAGATTGCATGTAAGTGTTTTCTATTCCTGAATGATTAGAATTATGACTGCACATAATGCAGCTCTTCCATAATGTAGTTTTCATTCATTTCAGTATGCTGTGCTGTTTCCAAAAAGACAGTAGAAACATGAGTCACTTTTTCATTGTCATACTCAAGGCTGCAATATTCCTGCTGATCCATGAAATGGCTAAATGTCCATTTCAAATTGAGCATCCTCCCCTGCAAAAACAAGATGAAAGCAAAAACATGATGAAAATACTCATCACAAATGACACAATAACTCATACACCTGTGCGCACACACACACACACACACACCACACCTCCCCTTAGACTCTTACCTGCACTCGTGTCTGCTGGGGGATTGTGGTTGTTGGGGGTCTGTTTGGGGTGGGCTGTGTCAGTCGTAGTGTTGTCTGAGAGGGGGTTGGTTACCCCTGGAATATCAGGGAGACAGGGAGGGGTGCGCACCAGAGGGGAGGTTCGACACTCCAGGAGGAACTTCCGGTTGTAGATGATTCGTGTGCCTGGGTGGGTTTGGTGGAGATCGATTGACAGTGAGAGAGATCACAAACAGGGTTCTGTGTGTCTCATCCTTGCAGCACTGTACCTGTGAATGCGTTATTGACCCACATTGGATATCTGTCAGGCTACAACCACCAGTCACCATTTATTTGTTCAGCTTGTGGCCAGATGAGTTCAGTGCCAACCTTCCCACAACCTGCTAACGAAAGATGATTGGTTAGAGACCACGCTCTGAGTTATATTCTTTATATTTGTTGTCTTTCTCCTTGAAAATGGTGCCTTAAACAGGATACATAAACTTGTAATGGTTCACAGAGAAAGGTTTTAGCACTTTGAGTGTTTGTTTGGTAGCCAAGTGCTTGACAGCAAGCCAACATATTTCCATAGTGCGTCAATGGCAGTGGAGGGAAATATATAAATAGGTCAGACGTCTAGAGCAATAAACAAGATGCTAATGAAGCATACATAACAGTGCATTACATTCTTTAAAGAAATTGAAAGGATACATGTTGACACAGATTATAGGCCACCATTATCATACGCCTACTCATGAGGATGGTGATGAGGAATATCCTAACATAATGTTAAAATTAGGCCTATTACTATGATAATGATTATTCTTATTAAAATAACATTAGTGTATTTACTATTAGGCTGATTGAGTTTCACATACCTCCAGGGGTCGTACTAAAGAGTGGCCCTCCTGGTGTTGTAGAATACTCTTGAGGCATGAGGGCTGCATCCTTGATGGTGACACTGCGGGTGGTCGGAATAGCCACTAGTAGTCTGACTCCCAGTCCCTGAAGACATTCTTCAAACTATGAATACAAACTACAAAACAGCTATTAACCATGCACTTCGAAAACAAGATCAAACGTAGGCCTATAGCTGGTGACAGACGGCGAGAACATTTTGCATCTAAATGTCACCGTTTTTCTTGACATTCAATCGTTTATGATCTGTTATAACACCTTGCCCTCCATGTGCCTCCCAATACACAAACAGCAAGTGGCGCTCCTCAAAACAACACTGCCAGGAGCGCCAGCTTTGATTGGCTGAAAAACTGGAGACGTCATTAATGCGTAAACCAAAGAAGGGAGAGGTTACAGCAGGTTGTAGTTTTATTGGATCCTCTAACACCCCGTAGAGGAATATAAAATAGCCAAAATAACTATGTAAACTGGATAACAAAATGTTGATTGTATAAAAAATGAAGATATCAATATCCCTGCAAGAGTTGTCTTTGAAACAAGAATATGATCCACTCTGCCTGATAAATGTTTTGCACCAACATATTTACCTTTATACCAGTGGAGGCTCCTCCGAGAAGGAATGGGAAGACCATCCTTCTCAGTGAATTTAATAAAAATAAAAATGGTAAAACATTAAAAAAGTTATCCTTTTTAGATAAAACTATGCTAAATATAATCACGTCACCAAATAATGTATTAAAACACACTATTTTGCAATGAATGTCTACAGTAGCCTCAACAGCACTCTGTAGGGTAGCACTAAGGTATAGCCGGAGGACAGATAGCTTCCGTCCTCCTCTGGATACATTGACTTCAATACAAAACCTAGGAGGCTGATGTTTCTCACCCCCCTCCGTAGACTTACACAGTAATTATGACAACTTCCGGAGGATGTCCTCCAACCTATCAAAGCTCTTGCAGCATGAACTGACATGTTGTTCACCCAATCAAAGGATCAGCGAATTAATCTAGTACTGAAAGCATAAACTACACCTAGCTAGCACTGCAGTGCATAAAATGTGGTGAGTATTTGACTCAGAGAGAGAAAGGCAATAGCTAAGCAGTTTTGGAAATTTACTGTATTTCAAAATAAAGGAGAAGCAAGAGAGAGATGAGAGAGAGAGATTATCATTTCTTTTTCACTTTCAGTTTCACTTACTTAGCTAGCAAATGCGGCTAGCTAGTTTAGCCTACTCAAACACCCTGCTCAGAGGGATGCTATGTTAGCTAGCTGGCTATGACTATCCAACACAACACTGGAACTCTTCTAAGTCAAGGTAAGCTTTTGGTTTAAGTGCTAAACTGCTTATTGAATGTACACTGTAACACTACATTTACATTTTATATTTACGTCATTTAGCAGACGCTCTTATCCAGAGCGACTTACAAATTGGTGCATTCACCTTATAGCCAGTGGGATACCGACTTTACAATATGTTTTTTTGGGGGGGGGGGTGGGGTAAGGGGGGGATAGAAGGATTACTTTATCCTATCCCAGGTATTCCTTAAAGAGGTGGGGTTTCAAGTGTCTCCGGAAGGTGGTGAGTGACTCCGCTGTCCTGGCGTCATGTGGGAGCTTGTTCCACCAATGGGGTGCCAGAGCAGCGAACAGTTTTGACTGGGCTGAGCGGGAACTGTGCTTCCGTAGAGGTAGGGGGGCCAGCAGGCCAGAGGTGGATGAACGCAATGCCCTCGTTTGGGTGTAGGGACTGATCAGAGCCTGAAGGTACGGAGGTGCCGTTCCCCTCACAGCTCCGTAGGCAAGCACCATGTCTTGTAGCAGATGCAAGCTTCAACTGGAAGCCAGTGGAGTGTGCGGAGGAGCGGGGTGACGTGAGAGAACTTGGGAAGGTTGAACACCAGACGGGCTGCGGCATTCTGGATGAGTTGTAGGGGTTTAATGGCACAGGCAGGGAGCCCAGCCAACAGCGAGTTGCAGTAATCCAGACGGGAGATGACAAGTGCCTGGATTAGGACTTGTGCCGCTTCCTGTGTAAGGCAGGGTCGTACTCTCCGAATGTTGTAGAGCATGAACCTACAGGAACGGGTCACCGCCTTGATGTTAGCGGAGAACGACAGGGTGTTGTCCAGGGTCACGCCAAGGCTCTTTGCACTCTGGGAGGAGGACACAACGGAGTTGTCAACAGTGATGGCGAGATCATTGAACGGGCAGTCCTTCCCCGGGAGGAAGAGCAGCTCCGTCTTGCCGAGGTTCAGCTTGAGGTGGTGATCCGTCATCCACACTGATATGTCTGCCAGACATGCAGAGATGCGATTCGCCACCTGGTTATCAGAAGGGGGAAAGGAGAAGATTAGTTGTGTGTCGTCTGCGTAGCAATGATAGGAGAGGCCATGTGAGGATATGACAGAGCCAAGTGACTTGGTGTAGAGCGAGAATAGGAGAGGGCCTAGAACTGAGCCCTGGGGGACACCAGTGGTGAGAGCACGTGGTGCGGAGACAGATTCTCGCCACGCCACTTGATAGGAGCGACCTGTCAGGTAGGACGCAATCCAGGAGTGAGCCGCGCCGGAGATGCCCAACTCGGAGAGGGTGGAGAGGAGGATCTGATGGTTCACAGTATAAAAGGCAGCAAACAGGTCTAGAAGGACAAGAGCAGAGGAGAGAGAGTTAGCTTTAGCAGTGCGGAGAGCCTCCATGACACAGAGAAGAGCAGTCTCAGTTGAATGACCAGTCTTGAAACCTGACTGGTTTGGATCAAGAAGGTCATTCTGAGAGAGATAGCAAGAGAGTTGGCTAAAGACGGCACGCTCAAGAGTTTTGGAGAGAAAAGAAAGAAGGGATACTGGTCTGTAGTTGTTGACATCGGAGGGATCGAGTGTAGGTTTTTAGAGAAGGGGTGCAACTCTCGCTCTCTTGAAGACGGAAGGGACATAGCCAGCAGTCAAGGATGAGTTGATGAGCGAGGTGAGGTAAGGGAGAAGGTCTCCGGAAATGGTCTGGAGAAGAGAGGAGGGGATAGGGTCAAGCGGGCAGGTTGTTGGGCGGCCGGCCGTCACAAGTCGCAAGATTTCATCTGGAGAGAGATGGGAGAAAGAAGTCAAAGCATAGGGTAGGGCAGTGTGAGCAGGACCAGCAGTGTCATTTGACTTAACAAACGAGGATCGGATGTCGTCAACCTTCTTTTCAAAATGGTTGACGAAGTCATACACAGAGAGGGAGGGGGGGGAGGGGGAGGAGGATTCAGCAGGGAGGAGAAGGTGGCAAAGAGCTTCCTAGGGTTAGAGGCAGATGCTTGGAATTTAGAGTGGTAGAAAGTGGCTTTAGCAGCAGAAACAGAGGAAGAAAATGTAGAGAGGAGGGAGTGAAAAGATCCCAGGTCCGCAGGGAGTCTATTTTTCCTCCATTTCCGCTCGGCTGCCCGGAGCCCTGTTCTGTGAGCTCGCAATGAGTCATCGAGCCACGGAGCAGGAGGGGAGGACCGAGCCGGCCGGGAGGATAGGGGACATAGAGAGTCAAAAGATGCAGAAAGGGAGGAGAGGAGGTTTGAGGAGGCAGAATCAGGAGATTGGAGGGAGAAGGAATGAGCAGAGGGAAGAGATGATAGGATGGAAGAGGAGAGAGTAGCGGGAGAGAGAGAGCGAAGGTTGCGACGGCGCATTACCATCTGAGTAGAGGCAGAGTGAGTAGTGTTGGAGGAGAGCGAGAGAGAAAAGGATACAAAGTAGTGGTCGGAGACATGGAGGGGAGTTGCAGTGAGATTAGTAGAAGAACAGCATCTAGTAAAGATGAGGTCAAGCGTATTGCCTGCTTTTTGAGGAGGGTGGGACGGTGAGAGGGTGAGGTCAAAAGAGGAGAGGAGTGGAAAGAAGGAGGCAGAGAGAAATGAGTCAAAGGTAGACGTAGGGAGGTTAAAGTCACCCAGAACTGTGAGGGGTGAGCCATCCTCAGGAAAGGAACTTATCAAGGCGTCAAGCTCATTGATGAACTCTCCAAGGGAACCTGGAGGGTGATAAATGATAAGGATGTTAAGCTTGAATGGGCTAGTGACTGTGACAGCATGGAATTCAAATGAGGAGATAGACAGATGGGTCAGGGGAAAAAGAGAGAATGTCAACTTGGGAGAGATGAGGATTCCTGTGCCACCACCCCGCTGACCAGATGCTCTCGGGGTATGCGAGAACACATGGTCAGACGAGGAGAGAGCAGTAGGAGTCGCAGTGTTTTCAGTGGTAATCCATGTTTCCGTCAGCGCCAAGAAGTCGAGGGACTGGAGGGTAGCATAGGCTGAGATGAACTCTGCCTTGTTGGCCACAGAACGGCAGTTCCAGAGGCTGCCGGAGACCTGGAACTCCACGTGGGTCGTGCGTGCAGGGACCACCAGGTTAGAGAGGCAGCAGCCACGCGGTGTGAGGCGTTTGTATAGCCTGTGCAGAGAGGAGAGAACAGGGATAGACAGACGCATAGTTGACAGGCTACAGAAAATGGCTACAATAATGCAAAGGAGATCGGAATGAAATGAACTAAACATCTGGGAAAGCGAGAGAGCGGGGCCTCCCTCACTTACGTTTCACTGAAACACCCAAATATAACTCTCCCAACTTCCACCTCAGAAATTATAATTGTTGTAGACTACAGCGGTTCAATGTTTTCTAGGAATAGACTAACTTTGTTTATTCAGCTAGCTAACTTGGTACAGTATTCTTCCGTGAAAACCGTCCAGGGCACCTAGTCCTATGATTCCAAAGCCAACTAGCATGCCAGGATCCAATAACACGGTTTAGCACCAATACTCGGCCACAACAAACCATCAGTGTGTCAACACGCCAAGCAGATCATTCGTGTCCATGTCTAACGTTGTGGGTTAGTCCCGACAGCTTGAGGGAGTCCGTTGTCAACTTATTCAGCCAGTTAGTTGATTGTAGCGGGTTTACTAACGCGTTAGTTCTATTGACTATGACGTTACTTTAGCTAATATGGTGACAACGATGTAGGCTGTGTTATGATATGGTTTGGTTTGGAAATGTTTTTTCTCCTGGTCACGTACAGCTGATGTGTTGTGCATTGAAGTCTACAAGTGAAGGGAAAAGGTGAGAGGAGGAGAGTGCATAGATGCGAGAAGGAATACAACGTGGCTGCTATGAAAGTGAACTGTGTTTACGCGTGATCAGGTGTGTATTCATTCCGCCAATTCTGTTGA